ATTCGAGAAGAAGGTAAAGGTTGGGGGGAGATAAACGTATGTGGTCCCGTACACGGATGACCTGCAAGAGGCCGTACAGGTTTCGCCGTCTTCAACGTATGTTCAAGGCCCCGGACGAGGCTATCTCAGGGCAGGAAACCCGTGCAAGGGGCTGTGCCCGGTGATGCTGTGATGGCGCGTAACAGCGGGGAGAGTTGCTGAGGTGTTGGTTGCCAAACGTGATCTAGCAGAGCTCAACGGTGTTTTCTGACATCCCTGCTAGGTCGAGGTGGAAGTCATATCCGCCTGCGCCAGCGTCGATGCAGCTGTACTCAGATAGCGACATGTCTTCGGCGTCTCCCGCCTCCATCGAGCGCTGGTTTTCCTGGCTGCTGAAGAAGAGAGGAATGGACTCTCCGTCAGCAGCATGGGAACGGGGGAGAGGTACATATAGCGTCTGGCTTACCAGCTGCCGAATATCACACAGCCGCCATGGCATGCCTTCCGACGGCGAATCATCAGTGACAAAAAGGTCCAGATATCGTTTAATAAACTGGTGTATGTCAAGACTACCCGGGGCAGGCAGCCGACCGGTGCTGTCATAGCGGCACAAGGTGTAAAGCAGAGCGGTGGGCGATATTCCCATTTCGGCCTCGCATATATCATGCCAGGGGGGCTGGACCAGTCGAGAATTGCACGCCTCGTTGGCATATATGGACCAGAGAGGCATGAATGAGTCGATGGAGCTATGCGCCTGAACCTGAACCTGCGCCCGTGGCACGTGGCACCATTCAAGGCACTTGTGCATGGCGGTAGATTTGCAATGGCTGCCTTGGAATGTCCACCTTAGTTGTTGCTTGACATATTTGTCTCGCAACCCTGGCGCATTGTTGAACTCCGTGGCGTGGCCACCTTCTCCTGATGTCAATTGTTGCTCAGCTCGACACAAAAGCACAAGTGCATTCATGTCAATCAGTTGATGACTCCTTGATAGCATCTTGTGATCGTCATTGTCGTCGACAAGTGAATCCTCTACCTCGAGCATGATCCCGTTCAGTTCTCGAAGTTCTTGGCCGAGAGCCTCGTGGTCGTCACCAGATAAGCGAAACACGCCGACAGCTTTGAGGAGCTTGAAGAACCGCTGAGTTGAAGGTTCATCTAG